CAAGATATTAAAAATATGTTCAGGGAACCTAATATTTTCACAGCTCTTTTTCTTTAATTTGATAAAGTTTTAAATATAAAATAGTAATGTTGTAATATGTCAAACATCCAGATCCACAATGGCTACCTTACATCTCAAGCAATAAATCGATGATGCAATAGTTCAGATTTGTTTTTACTAGAATACTTCCTGACTTAAAAATAAGCAGTTTTATATTACTACAATTTTATCACAATTTTATATATATATATATATATATATATATATATATAATTAATTAATTAGCTGATTGATGTTACCTTCAGTATCCTGACTTCAGAGTTTCATAGATGGACATTTCTGTTCACTCATCAGAGAGTATCAGAAATTGACTGCTTATACTCTTCTTTTTTTATGCACTTATCATTAGTACAAGTTTTTTTTTTCATAGTGTGTGTGTCCATGTGCCTGTCTGTGCAAATGTGTGTACATGTAAGATATCATGACTATTTGTCCTTTTCATTGTTTTTTTTTTGTTTCCTCCACTTTACACTGACACTTTAGCCTTTTCTCTCTGTTTTTTTCTCTTTTCTTTCAATTGTTGCCATTTGTTACCATTTGACTTGCGTTTTTTTCTAGACAGGTTGTCGTTTTTTTAATTTTTGAGCATTCTAATTGTTTCAGTTTTTACTTTTTTAAAAAATTTTTATATATCAAGAACAATATTGGAGGAAAGATATATGACAAAGTGGGAAAAGTTTTTTAGTATCAACATAAACAAACCTAATCCAACAAAGACTTTAGAGATGAAACATGTCACATGAAAACCTTTTATACATCTTTCCTCTAGTGTGTGTGTGTATGTATATATATATATATACATACACACACACCTATATATATATATATATATATATATATATATATATATAATATATGCTATAATGATATATAATTTTGTATATTAACAAACAATATTGATAAACTGGAAAATTTCTCATGATGCATTTCATTGATGAAATCCTAACAAATGAAACACATCACAAGAAATTTTACAGTTTGTCATATTCTCTCTCTCTCTCTCTCTCTCTATATATATATATATATATATATATATATATATATATATATATATATATATGTGTGTGTGTGTGTGTATATATATATATATATATATTTTAGAATTGCAAAGTTTTATATAAATTTGATGATCCTCATTCATTTTATATTTTTCAGATTCAAAATGGCATTTTTATTCCTCAGTAAGTAGTCCTTGCACATTCATATGTACATGTATGTAATTTTTTATAACGTTTTGGTGTTGCTAGTAAGAAAATCTTTTTTCACAACCAGTATTTAGTAATAGATTTTATGGCTTGTAAAGTGGGTGATCCATTTATTATTATAATAATAATAATAATAATATCAAAAATGATCCACCACTTTGTGTATTTTGCAGACAAATATGCCAATTGGTAAACATTGCACATAACACCAAGACTGAACAATGTCATAGTCACCATAGTTTATTGTTACTATAAAGTATAAACAAGGGAATGTTTCCTTTTGAATAATACTAATGCCCAAATTTGTTCTTAATTTTATATCATTTTCTAATAGCAAAGATGAAATTAATTATTAAAATATTCTTATAATGATTACCTAATACATGACATAACCCACTAAGGTCTTTGGGATACCATATATATTACAGGAATAGCAGTAGTGGCGTGTCTAGGTTACAGTAACGGACTGGCCAATGTGTGAGCTTGCTGAGTGACAACTGGGCCCTTAATGTATTGGGCCCGCTATATCAAAAATGCAATTAAAAGCAAACACGGACAACTGTTTTAGTAATAAAAAGGAATAAGAACTTTATAAAGTTGTCTGCACATTATCAGTTAGTCAAGTTCAATGTGAGAGGACATTTTCAAAGACAAGGTTAAGAAATTTGCCACCTGAGGATAATTTGCAATCATATGTGTTGAAAAGGAACTTGTTAGATTAATTAGATGCAGACGCAATTATTGGCAAATTTACACAATCATCTAATGAACACAAATGATTGTTTTTTTTTAAATTCTCTGTTAATGTAAAAGTAAACTATTTAAAATATCAACCAATTATTTAAAATTTTTTAAAATTCATTTATAACATTCTGTATTTACATTTGGGTTCTACTGCCAGTAATATGTACAGTACATGTAAACTGCATTTACTTAGAAATACACATTTTTTTCTATAAAAAAATTAATTGTACCATTTTTCCATATGCATTTTTTAAATTTTATTTATTCATTATGAAAATTAAATGATAGCAATGTAGATTTGGGTGGGACCCCTTTCTCTCCTGGCAAATGATATTTTTAGATCCAGTTCACTACTGTGGGGGCAAGGTATCTCCCATGACTGTAAAACTCATTTTACATATACAAATAGCATTAACACATTCGCTGCTGTATTGTTATTTTATTGTTGCATGATTGTGCTGGCCCATTTGAGGGAAAATAAAAAATTGCTATTTTTTGGAAATAAATGACTATGAAGATACTAACAGCAATTCCTCATGGGCACTGCTATTTTGGTTTTGATAGGATACTCTGACGTACAAACTAACCTAAACAACATCCTCAACACACAATATAATAAAAATATGTCATAAAACAGGTTGTATTTATGCTGTGATATGTCTATGCTAAATTGTGTTATTCTATAAATACTGAACAATTTAATTTTTCTTGTATTTTGAACTATCGTTCTCATCTTGGTTGATATAAATACTATTAAAGGCATAATATTTTGACCAAGTACTATCTGGTCATCATCAGGTGTCCATTAATCAGGATATCTGTTAATTATTGTGATATTTTGTCTGAAATGGTGACATAGTGAAGATAGGAATTGGTCATACATGTGTTATTGTCATCTAGTAGTCATGAGTTCAATCCTTGGATCAGGTAGTGAAGCACCAATTTCATTTTTTTTTCTTTTTCAGGCCATCTATCGATGTGGGTAACAAGATCAAAAGTTTAATTAACTATGCACTTGACAAGCACAAAATTGAACGGTGAGGATTTGTTCAATCTTTATTTTATGTCCTCAAGGACACATGGCACAGTGAATAAAGGTGTTAGTTAGATCCAGTGACAGGACCCAAAGAGTGTGAGTTCAATACCTGGTTAAGGCGATGGAGAACTTGGAGAGGGGAATTAATAGGAGATAACTGATAACTGACATCCATTAGACATGGCATGTGGAACTAGGACAGTCTACCACAGTGAGCAAAATAAAGGGTTCAGTTTCATAATATATATATATATGCCAAGTTCAATTTCCATCTAACTGTTTTGCTTTCACTTTTGTACAAACAGCTTTGTAATAGGTATGAATTCATCTCTTCCCCCACCACCACCACCTCTAGGGAAGACTGGGTTCTCTAGCCTCTTCTAGGAGGAGGACAACTTTTAATTCAAAACCAGTTGGACATGGGGCTGGTAACTCCAACCTGTAATAACCTACTTCTTATAGAAACTACAGTAGCAATACCTAATATGGTGAGGCCATATTCTACAGAAGAGTCTCATTGTATTAAAGAAGAGGAGGATTTTATACAAAGTCTGTCTGGAATGTATTCACCAATTTTGGCTATGTCAAAACTGGCTGTGCAGCCTTTATTGTCCATATGTGAACCTCATGTGAGGTTACTCAGCTGGCAATCAGATGCTACAAAGTGAGCTTGTCTACTATGTTTCATCTTTATAACAACTAAACAAGTAAATTCTCATGCAGTGATTTTCACAAAATACTATTTCCCCTACCCACAATACACAATCTAGATTTAGTTTTTAGCAACCTTTGGATTTTTTCACAGCTAAAATTACTGTTAAAACAATGTTGACGAGATTAAGGAGAGTGTGATGCAGAAGTTGATGGTGATTCTTAAAGAGAACTTTGAAGAATATTTTGAAAAGTGGGAGGGGTGCTGTGATAAATGTACAAGGTCCCAAGCCAAGTAGTTTGAAGTGGACTAATGTGCCATTACCCTAGTCAGGCAATTTTTAATTAATATTAAATAGTTGGATCACTCTTGTGCAATCTTTGCAGGTATGTATTTTGAAAATGTATTTGTTGCTTTTTAAGATTTTACAATATAAAAGAAAGAGAAACAACTTTATTTTGTTTTTAATCATTTTACTCCAAGGCAATAATGCCACCAGGATGCAAGGGGTAACTGAGAGTGAAAGAGAATGAGAAGACTAGTGAGTAGTAAGTACAATGTAAAAGAAGCACTATTAAATACCGGAAACTTAAAAATATTTACAGATATAATTTTGCATTGCAAACAAGGAATCAATATTTGATTATTGTATAATTTTAAGGTTTCTTTGAATAAGTTGGTGTATTTTTCTGTGTATCATTCAGTAGTACAATTTAATCTCAGTTTATTGAGATATCTAGCTTATTTCATTGCTTATTTCTTAATTTTCCTGATTTGGTTGCAGACTGTTATTACTGGATTTATCACACAGTCCAAACATGGAGAAACAGAAGACATTTATGAATGACAAATGGTAAGTCTCTCATGTTAACTTGATATGTTTTGTTTTTGCTAAATAAAATAAATTTTAATTTGTAAACAAAGTGGCTAGTAAAATTAGATTGATACAAGGACTAGATTTCTGAATGTGACCATTTCATAACTGTAATTTTCAAACAATCTTCATATAACAAAAAAGAGAGAAGTTATATTCAGATTGTGCTTAAATCCTTGTTAATACAGGAGCGAGATTGACTTCCCCCAACTTACACACACCCAGTGATTTTTCCTTAATACTTAACAAGTGGCAAGTCAAATTGTCATGATTAGTCAAGTAGCATTCGCAATACCTCTCTCAAGTAACTACACAGAGTTAGTCATAAATATTTGTGTGAATTACAAGCATGTGACTGTAAAATAAAGACTGTTTATAATAATTATGGCTGAAATGTATACAAAGATCACAGCAAACTTCTTGAGCTCATGGTCACATCATGTTGAAACACCAGTTCCCATAAGATCATTGAAGTTAAGCAACATCGAGTTTGGTCAGTACCTAGATGAGTGACTGCTTGGAAATACCAGGTACTGTAAGCTTGAATTTTTGCCCATTTCTCAGTTATAAAATACAGGGATCAGCTTATATTCAGATTGGCTTATACATGAGTATATATGGTAGTGTGAAAATAATATCTTTGGACATGATACAACTTTTTACTGTTTGGCAGCTTCTCATTCCCATTTCTAAATAAAGGATAGTCACTTTTTTAGAGTCCAATGGAGAAGATTTTTATCATAAAATGCCAAGTCTGTTAATCTAATCTAACTGTCAAATATATATATATATATATATATATATATATATATATATATATATAGTTGTTACGAAGAACTTGGTAAACCGAATGGGTAATTCAAGGAGGATGAAATCCTGAGAGCTCAATGTGAATACAGAGCTAATATTTAATGAAAAAACAGACCACTTTAAGGTAACAATGTTACCTGATGATCCGGAGTCCTTTAAAAAGGATTTTGGTGAAATAAATTATTGTAATGGTACCTTAAAGTGGTCTGTTTTTCATTAAATATTTATATATATATATATATATATATATATATATATATATATATATATAGTCTGCGTTAATCTGACTGTTGCTTCAAATATATTATATATACACATACACAAGTACAGGGTTGGTACAGATGGAATAAAATTCTGATAACCAAAAACAATATACTTAAAAAGTGCTCAATGTCAAGTAGAGCAAATAATATTTATTCAAAATTATAACATATGCATTTTATGACATCACTACAAAAATTGCTATTTTGTTTCAGCAATAATGGTGTCTTATCAAGTGATTGTGTTGATTGCAATCTTAGCTGTCCAGATATCAACCTCTCCAAAGTGCCATTAATTTTGCTGTAAATCATTAAAGCATTGTAAGGAACATTTCTTGAATATCCAACTTCAGAGACAACTTCCTGTCCAATCACTTAAGCTTATGAAGTTGTGAGTTTTTCACCAGAAACTTAAGTGAAAATCAGACTTTTTGCTCATTGCAACTATGTTAGCTCATATAGAAAAATATTATGAAAAAGTTATTTCATGTTGTTATGGAGTAAAAGTTAAATTTGATTTATGTTATGTTTATGTCTTTCCTTCATATTTTATCAGTCCAGCATTAGTCATTTATCTTGCATACCATCAGCTGCCCTACACTTACTGTTTGGGCATTTATACAGTCTATGCCGTAGGCAGTCATTTACACATCACTACAATTGGTGTCCTTTAAACTAAGTGAGGATGATGCTTGCCAAAATATTACTTAAACAGAAATGTGTTACTATATTTAGGGATGTGCAGATGGCGTATCAGCATGGAATTGAAAAGCAAAGTTCAAATTTTCATTTTGTTTGTTATGTTCACCTTTTCACAAATGTCCTTGGGAAAAATATGAATCCATCACTTCTCTCCACTCACTATGGACTAAACAGTAAAGTAAACTGGGCTCTCTAGCCTTAGTTGATAGCCAGTCTAGGAGAAGAAAACCTTTAAATTCAAACTCTGAAGAAAACAATGAGAAAACAATCTTTCCAAAGAAGTCAAAGCAATTCACAGATATTAAAATGGAATCTGAGGAGATCCAGGATCACTGATATTTTGAAGGAATATGGCATTAAAACAAAGAATTACTATATTTAAATTCTTCCTCTGAAAATATGCACTGATTAAAATATTATGGTATGTTATGGGACCTTACCCATAATAACATAATGAACTATTCCATACGTAATAAATACTGCGCCTCAAGAGGAAGCAGGGAGCTCAGTCTGAAGTCGGATGACCGGCTGATCGGTTGAACTCTCTGCCTTCGGGCGGGGAGGAACCCGAACGTGGCTATGGCAAAGAGCGGAGTCTCTTTCGAGGAGGTAAACTGACCCTGAACCTGTTTATACAGGTTGAAAGGGCATATTTTTGGCCAAGCCCACAGGCTCGGAGATCCCATGTTAAACCTGCCTTGTGCCACATGATAGCCTCGTGGGGGGGCAGGTGACTAAATACTGTTCAGTCTAAAGTCTGGAGTGAGGTCCGTCAGAAGTCCGTCGCATTCAGACAAGACATTGGAATAGTGATACTGGTCGAGACTACATTGTTCTCCCTACTAAACCTGATTGTTCGTACTAACACTTCCTACTTCTCTGTATATATTCCTGTTTGTAATATATCTGTGTTATTCCATATCTGTGTTCGAGTTCTTCTTTATTGGTTCTACCTTGGACCATCACCGTGGTACAAGGACCTGGTCCATAACATGGTAAAAAAGAAATTACAGGAAAGAAATGATCATTTTAAAGTTAATGTATTTATGTGCCTAAATTAAGTGATGCTATGATATATACTACAGTTCAATAGTTTCAGAGCACTCTTGGTAATTTTTTTAAATTGGCCCCCAAAAATAGTTGTTTGTACTTTAGATAAGAGAAAATTATTATATATGGTTAAAAAAGTTAAAAAGTGAGACATGATTTTTTTATTTGAAATTTTATTATAACAAAAACAAAAAAAGCATTTTATGATTAAATTTTGCTCTCATCAAAATATCCTCCCTTAGCCTTGATTACTGCAGCACAAATTTTTGACATTCGTTGCAAAAGTTTATCAAGGTATAAGTTTGATAATTGATTCCATTCTTTTTGTAGTGACTCTAAGAGCTCTTTTTCAGGTTTTTCACTCTTCTGTCAAGTACATCCCATGCTAATTCTAAGGATGGCTTCAAACTTTTGAACTGTAGTATATATATGTGTGTGTGTGTGTGTGGTACAATGCACCAGTAGGCAGGCCCTGAGTGAAAATGAAACTCACTCAATAGTTAGTGAAACTAGCTTGTGAACTGCTACTCTATGACCATCTCCCATATGCATGCACACACTTATATATAAACAAGTATATATAATGGTTCTTAATTATTGTGCTTTTATCTTTGGTGTTTGCAGTGTCCTATATCTCTCAATCCACTCTCATGGCCCCACACAGCAGATGGATAACCCCACTGAAGGACTTGGTTTCAGTATATCCCTTTCTCCTCAAGTGGTGAGTTTATGCTCTTCTCAAACATTGTTCATTCTAATTGAGGATAGGATATTTGATTCCAAAATATCACAAACTAAGTAGGCACAGATTATGTTCTTGAAGTTGTCAAGGTTCTTATGTCAGAACATGGTTTTTGCAACCAATTCATGATTATGTAAAATTTTGAAAGGAAGAGATTTGTAATATTTTATTAAAATTCTAAGACTTAAATATCTTTTTTAAGTTAAAGAATTTTTAATCAACACTATAAACATTATATTATAATTCTGGGTGTTTCTGAGTTAGCTAGCATCTACAATGTGCCTTGTTAATATATCATAAGTAAAGGACTATTCCATCTTGATTGCGAGGAAAGATAGAAAAGACATATTAGAGATGCTGTTTGGCTTCAGTGGGAAAGTAAAATTGGGGCTTAAAAGTAGAATTTGATGATTTTATCCACAAAATTTTGAAAATTTAAATATTTGAAAAGCATTTTAACAGAGGACATAAAATGTGACACTGAAATCTGAAGGTACATTTGAATAGCAAAAGATGCCTTCCAAAATCTAAGCAAAGTATTAAGAAACAAGAATATTTTGTTACAAATAAAGAAAAGAGAACTGGACTGTTATGTAATATTGGTATTTCAATATGGCAGTGAATGATGAACAATCTCCTCACAAGGGAAGAAGGGACTTGAGGCAACAGAAGGATGCTGAGAATACCATGGACTGGACACATCAGCAACAACAATTATTCTTACCATCAGAAAGAGATAACTGAAAGTTTTGGGACACATAATGAGGAAAGAGGGCTTAGAAAATTTGATACTCACAGGACAGACTGAAGGTAAGAGGGACAGAGGAAAGCAGAGGATAGCCTACTTAACAAGATTGTGTAAATGGTTGGTAGAACAGGGATTATGAACAATGGAAAAAACAAACTCTACTAAGAGCTTCAAAGGACAGAAAATTATGGTAAGCCATAAAGAGACATGGGACATAAAAAACGAAGACTGTCCCTATGTTATACACTGAAAATTGGAGGAGGAAGAAAAATTATCAGAAGTGAGGAATTAAAACAAATATTATTGAGAAACAGAATAAGATTGTTAATGCATATCGGTGTGTAATGAAATATATCAACTTCTTAATCTTTGATTTGGTTAGTGAGATAATTTTTGTTTGGATACTTCTGTTGGAGAATGTGAATACAAGTTGTCACCTCAGACAAATGAATAAAAGGGAGGTAATTCAACAAGAATAAAACAAAACCAACATTTATTGATAGAAAAACTAAACCACCAAAATAAACATGAAACTAATACAAAGTTATAAAATGACAGTGTGTGAGTTCAAAATTTTGATCAGCTGCCTAGAGAAGTTTGCTTTTTACTCATTGTTTTTTTGTGTTTGTTGTGTTGAGAAAACATGCATCTCATACCAAGTAGGGTTGGTGGCAAAAAAGAGTAAACCCCTTTTTGGTATTTCTGGTTTTATTTTTATTTGATTTTGTTTTTATTTATTTATTTATTTTTTCTTTTGGATGATGGGATATTTTTGTGCTTGTATGCATATGTTTGTGTGAATAATGCTAACCACCAAACGGCTGTTATAGATATGATGGTGGGTAATGTCTGATTTTTCAGCTAATAGATTTTATTTACACTTGGACTATTGTCTCATCTTTATTGTTGTCATCAGAACATTTCAGCTGTTATGCCCTCCGGGCTTCATCAGGGGCATATCAATTCAGATAATCTACAGGGAATACCAGACTAAACCCTTTATTTAATCTACAGGTGTAAACTGTTCTCATTCCATTGCTCATGTCTAGGGATATCTCATCTAGTTTTTATTTTTAATACTGCTCTGTTATTGTTCACTCTGTTTCAATATCTGAACAATATTAAAAATAAGAACAAGATGAGATATTCCTAAACATGGGCAGTGGAAAAGAGAAAAGTCTACCCCATAGATTAAATAAAGGGTTCAGTTTGGAATTCTCTATAGGTT